AATTTTCAACTTTCACATCAATTTAAGGCAAGAAGGGCAGGGATTAAATCATAGAATATCTAAACTCACAATACCATAGGAAGACCTAAGTTCAAATAAGTCTTCAAGTAAGTTAACTATAACTCTGTTCAGATAAAAAGACATCTCCATCTTCAGATAAAAAGACATTTTATTTTCTTCACACTTATATCAAATTTCAAAACATTTTCTCCCTGAGAAACTTTCAGAGGATGTCATTCCAGAAGGGGAAAAAATTATCTGAAATGATAGGAAACAGAAGAAATGAAACCAGTTTGTTCAGAATTGATAGGTAACACAATTCTGAACTTCTGCCTTTATCAGTGTATCTCCTTTTGTCAAAATAAACTTTCTAAATATCACTTTTTGAAAGCCTTAAAAGCAACTGTGAAATGATCTTTGGACTGCAGGTCCAATTCCCGACACTGGCCATTTTACCTTCTCCATATAAACTCAAAATTCAGACACAAGAGAGTCAAAATCATTTATATTACAGAAGTAGGATTGCTCAATATAATCCATCAGTAATTTTCTTCAGATATTATAGATACTAAAAAAATGTGATTTATAAAGCAAAGACATCCCAGGAAGTCCTTTAACTTATCAGGTATATTTTGAACTTCCTCATGCACCAATTAACATTCAAATCATTGTTAAAATATCTGCAGCTTGGCAAATATGCTCTAATGCTGAACTCACATAATTGAAAGGAAAGTGCACTTCATTTCTGTTTTCAAATTGTCAGTTTGTCACTTTTTGTTTAAATATTTAATCTTTGAAATAAATTCACAAAAATAAAAAAGCAGCTTCTTTGCTGACAGTAATTTCACCCAATCAAAATGCTGAGTGCTTCTTGCACATAGTAATTATTTTTTTGTTGAATCAGGATGCAAAATACCTATTATTAATAAAGTATGAAAAGCAAATACTAATTTGTTTCCACTTCAAGACATGCTTGCATTACTTGGAATACAAGGTGAAAAATTTTTCAACTGAAAGATTGCTTAAAAAAAATATATTTCTTTGGGTCTATTGAAATCTTTTAAAGAGAAGTTTGACATTAATCTCATAGCTCCATGGCTCCTAAAAAAAGAATGATTTCTGCTTTCCCAGCCTTAAAATCCTACTGCTGTCATTGTGTGGTATCTGCTTTAGTATTAGTTTATCAAGTTTTCTTTCTAAATAAGACAGTAAATCAATAGAGCTGACAAAATGAAGCTGCTGATAACTTCTCTATTAGCGAGTGTTCTCATACTGAGCATCATCACTGTATCCATCATGCAATTCACCACAAAGAACAGCATTACAACAATCCACAGTGAATATTTAATTCTACCTAATATTCTTAAAAGTTTGGAGCATACCAATATATTTAATTTATTGAGTAATTAGTGATCTATGGATGTGTTGTCCTCATTGTGCAAAGTTAGGAATAAGTCAGGAAGGTTTACCAAGGCAGATGTGTGCCACTCTCACTACTGATCTCCAGATTATAAAACCAGACAAAATAGAGCCACTATGTTACTGGGTTTTTTGTCTCCAACACTCACTATTGTCAATAAATACAATTGTGGAATGATACAAACTTACATGGGCAGTGTCCTGCTTTATGTTAGCCTTAGGAATGAATGTTGTGTGTTTGCTAAAAAGCATATCCATCTCAGAGAGGTGACATTTATTTATTTGAATATATTTCAGCAGCAAAACAGTCTTTACTTCACTAAGGATTAGTAGCTAGAGACATAATCAAAGTGACATATACAACTGGGGTAGGAGGGGAGAGAGGGGAAAACACATTTGATTGTACTCATGGCTGACGCCGAGTTAAAAGAAAAAAAACTCTCCTAGTGCATCGTTTCATAATTGTTGTCAGTACTCCACAGCACTTATTTCAAAGCTGTTAGAAAACTAAGGCAAATTAAAAAAGCCTCACTGTTCACTGCTCCTAGAACACAGTGAACATGAAACTGAGAACCAGCCACTGGGACAGGATTATTTTAAAAGAATTGTAGTTTCGATTTTTTTTTAATCAATTAACAGAAGCACAATTAGAGGACCCTATCTAGCTTTTCATTGTCTTTTAAAAAGTATTAATTGCTGATATTAAGTCTTACCTCAAATTCTTAATTCCTCTTCCCTCTCAAAGAGGGGAAGGATTTCCCTAAAGCTGTTACCTTACCACTGTTAGATCTTTATATAACTGCAAGAAGGCATAGCTATTACTATTTCAAATATGTACCAAGGCAATTTATTATCTACAAAGAAACATTCTCCAAAACAATTTGGCATTATTCCTGTCTAGTCAATGTTTGAGTAAATATTCATCAGCTCCAATGCCTCTGGTGAACCACTGGGCTGTCATCTCATATTTGATCAGACCAGCCTAATTCAATTTTATATTTCCATAGATTATCATTAAAAGCACACATTCTAAATATCATTACTGGAATCTAAGCCACCAATAAATTTTCTATTACAGTAAGAATTCATGCTTGAAGGCTATCAACCTGAGAAACTAAACTCCCCCTCTCCCTGTTCCAACCTAAACCCACTTCCCTAAACCTCCAAGAACAGTTTAAAAAAAGCCCCAAAATTTTTTATTCCTTCTCAAATTTTTAAAAGCTTCCAGGGATCGATTCCTTATCTAGGCCTGCTTTGATGCCTAAAAATCTCCTTCATGATTACTAAAGGTTGTTATTTTTCCAGCTCCTTATGGAGAGGGATAGTTCCCTCCAAGTGGTAGTAGTATCTTACAGCAGTTACCTACGTATAGAGATTGCTTTCTGTTGCAAAATACTTCATTTATCAGTTTGCACGCCTTCATTATGAGGCTCTGTGAGTGTTGTATCTTCTACAAAACATGTCAGGATTGTTTAGTCTTCTGATCTTATTGTGCTGCATAGGGTTTCTCGTTATTGATGGCCTTTTATAGCTCCAATAATACTTGCATGTGTAAAGTTTATTTTGATTAAGCATTGACAGAGATTCATCCTTCATGCCTCTCAGAGTTTCGGGGCAAACGCTGGCACTTAATGTCACATCAATTGTGCTAAATCAGTGATGAGATAATACCAATGTACTGTTTCTGAAAACAGTTTGTCTTCAGAAAGAAAAGACAAAGCAAAAAGTCCAAGGCAGCCCACAAGGTTGAAGCACAAAGGACTAAAGATATAGCTGTATTTCAGGGACAATAATTTTATCAAAAGAAAAACCTTATGGAAATTAATTTCTAATGAAATAAAATGAAATAGTAACTCAGGGATTAAATGACCTTTTGAATATTTATAGACAATTTCCTCTTCAAAAAGAGTTTCACATGAGGTATATGTTTACATCTCCCATTTACCTGATCTTAAATCCTTAAATTAAATTCTTGCCACCATCTTTCAGCCCCAAACTGATGCTAGATTAGCTGCTGAGCAATCTGCTCTTATTTCAGTGCACCAAGATATTTTGACTACTTTGCTACAAAAAACAATTTAATGGCACAGTGACAGCCCAAGATTCCAGCTCATGCATATTAACTTGCTTACTTTACCATCTTCTAATTCCTGACCTCAAAGTTACTTTGAAGAACAGCAGTGGGAAGCAGTGCAATTCTAATATTCCTTTATTCAAATACTTTTTAACATCTGAACGAAATTCAGCTGATTCATCAAGTCAAAGTTGCTGACTGTATGGCATTAGTTATTTGGGTTTAAGCTCAGAAATAAGTACCCCACTGACTAGGCAATTAAGCACACACCGAAGGAAAACTCTTCATAGAAGAATTTATCTTAAGGCTATTGCAACCTCTGTCTGCAAGAAAAAAACTGGACTATTTGATTTGTCTGACCATTGTGTTTGATTAGAGACCAGGATTCTTCCTGCCTGTCTCCTTCAGAGAGCTACCATTCCGCAGAAAAAAAAAGGAAAATATCAAACCAGTGCTAGAATTGGATGCAGAAGCTGAGTTTACATGAATCAGATAAGTACTCTTCCCACAACACGCCAGTATAAACAGATTTCCCCCCACTGCTCTTTTCACACAGGCACAGTCTATGAATTATCATAAAGACAAGAGAATTCAGTAAAAATGAAATAAGACTTGGTCCTCAAAAGAGCAGGAAAAACCACCTCAAAATGAACAGATGAAGGTGCATTTTACATGGGGTTTGACTCATATTTACACTAAACAAGTTCGGCTGTGCCATAAAAGCACAGAAGCAGTATTTTACAGCACGCTACCCGAGAATAAGTAGTATTTTCAAAAGGCTTACACACAAATGAAACAGGAAGTCCACGATTCTTCATTTTCTTGTAGGTTACTATACAGACCAAAGACATAATTGCCATGTTTCTCAGAAGTTACCAACAATAGTTTTGCGCTATTCAAGGCCAGAAGACTGGGCAAAAACTACTGACATCTGAATTCCCAAGCACTGATATGAGGTAGTGGTTCACACAGTTTAACAACAACAGTGATAAAGCAAATACTGGTCTGTTTATGTGGTCAGTAATGATATCAAGTGATCATATTAATTTCCCTTAATCATCACATCTAATAAAGAAATCTGTGTTGAGGCAGTGGTATCATCAGTAGAATTTACAATTTTTTTTCTAGGAAAAAATGTTCTTTAAACTATTTTTATTAAATATCAATGATTTTCCTCAGTATCAAAAATTATTTTGAAAAAGATGCCTGATATTATGGTATCCGGATTAATGTGCAACACCTGTAAGATAGCCAAACTCCAATCACTCCTCTGAGACTAAAGAAAGTCTCACAATCTCATCCTCTTTGTGTTTCAAAATAAAAAAAAAAATCCTGAGGTGAGGAAACTGCACAGATTTAAGAACCAATGGAAGGAATTGCCCCAACTACCAAAAACTTGGCAGTCACATCCTTAGGTCCTACTTCATGTGAACTCAAATTCTCCTTGACACTGAGAAAATTTTTAAAATTACAGTGATACATCAGTAGTTTTAAGAGTAGTTCTTACCTTCTGAATAGCCCTGGCCCATCTTGCTTTTGCAAAATTACCTCCGTTATCTTGGTCTGTATTTCCCCTGGAGAAAAAGGGGGGAAGAAAAAAATGCATTCAGAACAGAAAAGTATGAAAATAAGTAATTAAAAGAAATCTGATTAATCTATGGATGAGTGTGAAAGTCAGATCCATCACTAACTCACAATATCACCTTTGCATTACAGGAAGCTTTGTTAAAGCTAAGAGTTTAGTGGCTTGAAAAGACACGATGCTTGTTCCTCATATTATCAAGGTATAAAAGAACATTAGCAAAGGAATACATTTCCCAATTGTAGAGGCTCATAAATCAGGATTACAAGGTCTTCAACATCAAATGGCAGGAAGAGAGGCAGAAAACAACAACAAAATCCAAACCACCAAGGCAGTGAAAAAAAAAAGGAAACCTTTGAATTTCCACAGTAAAGGCATAGCCTCATGAGACAGAGACACTGTCACTAAGTCTTTGCCTACTGCACCATAGGAGTTATTAAGAAGTCACATAACATAAAACCACTACTCCCTCCCTCCCAAAAAAGTACCACCAAACAAAAACTAACATTTACTCCAATCTTTGAAATGCAATCTTGCATATTTGGTTGCCCTCTCACAGAAGTTGCACACTTGCACAGGCCAATTAGGGCTCATTATGCAGCTATTTCACCACACCTGTGAAGAATGTTGGTTTAAACTGAAAAATACTAATTCCATGAATGGCTGTTAAGCACAGGTTAAAATAATTAGTGTAGACTCCACCACTCCTGCAAGATTTTAAGTAATTCAAAAGCCACTACCTTGTAGAATACCAGTTAAGTTGCAAAATAAAAAGTATACAGTAAAATTATACACATAAAATTTACAGAGGACGTAGAAGCCTGTTTTTGTAAAACAAAAACTTTTTGTAAAGTTTTTGCAATATACTTGTATTATATTTCAGTGCCATCCCTTGATCTACACATTACTGTTTAATTATCTTAGACTTTTGGAACAGTGCTCTTTTATTTGAGGAGTAAAATGTTCCCTCTGATATGCACAGCTGAGTGCTCATGATGCAAACTAAGTATGAAGAGACTTGTCTTCCCCTGCCCTCATCTCTGAGGCTGCATATTTGCAGGTCCAGCCTTTTCCTCTTCACAGCTGTTTTTTTGTTTTCAGGTAAATCAAGTGATACTAGTAATTGGTCCACCCCATCCTGCAGTTGTTAACTAGACTGGAAATACTGGGTAATAATTAACCACAGGTACTACCAGGGTAATTAACCTCAAGGTCAGATGGAGATTGGGTTGAGAGTGCTGATTCGAAGAGAAACAGCTTTCTCTGCCTTAACTAAAAGTAAGTAGGGAAAAGAGTATTCTTAAGTTTCGAGGTATAATGTACAGAGGGGGAAAAAACTCTGGTTTAACTGGTTTGCAGTACTTTTAGGAAGTCACCAATGTGTGATCAGACTGCTGAGCACAGCACACTTCTTGTGCCACTTCGAAACTCAGCACAGACAGACACAGCAAGAAGCAGATTCTGCCTGTTCACTTCCTGCTGAAACAGTGATGGGTCCAGTTTGAACAAATGGTTGTAAATTTTCTATTCAGATCTAGTGAAACAGTTACCTGGCAGAAAACACTATCAATACTGAACAAAGCTCCTGATGACATGCGCTTTACAGGAATTCTGGGTAACAAAGCCACCAGATACTGCTGGTATCTGTCCTACTAACCAGTCCTACTAACTGAACTGAGCACAAGTAACATACGTGCCAGGCAAATGCATTACTATAGTTTTTTGAAACTACATAAGCAATAAGATATTAGGGAACTTCACACAAGCATTAAGCCAGAAAACAAGGGAATCATATCTGATAATCAGAAGAGCATAATATCACCAGTGACTGAACAACAAAAAAATTAAAACCAAATGACAAATGCCTTAAGAGTGCCTGAAAACCACACTGATTCACCACCTCTACAACATAACGCCCAGCTGTGATCTCTGATGCCATGCAGGCCACAAGAACAACAAGACCAGAAGTACAAGTGACACCTCAGGAGAAGTACAGCAATACTCAGATCTGGTGAGCTCAGCAGGCAAGCCAGGTCAAAGTTTTGATGCACGATGCATCAAACTCAGTGGGCTTTCACATCTCTTAGCCAAAAGGATCAAAATAACCCATCTTGTCACAGTGATTTACCAACCAATGACAGGTATGTGCAAAGGAATGCACAGGCTAATGATAAACACAAGGGCTCTTCAGTCTGGTTTATTAAAAACCAAGGATTTTTAATAGAAAAAAAAATTTAAAAAATAGAAAAAGTCACATTGGTGCTTTTATTTAATAGATGTTTTCCCTCTTAATTTTGCTGGCCAAATACATTAAAATTACTCTAGCATTGCAGTGATGATTTGCATTTTCATGGCATCTCATGTAAAATTAATCTCACTATAGACTTCATTGTAAGGCAGTTAATTATAGAGCAGTTGCAGTGTGGCCACATACAGACAAAAAAATGACATCTTCTGAATGCTTATGTTTTTGTAATAGGCAATCCTGAACATCTGCATTTGTTTCTAAGTATTCATAGCTAATGTCAATTTCACCAGCTTTGAATGTAACTGGAAACAAACTATGGCAGAGAAATTGAAATGATTACACTCTATTATCACATTTTTTATTTGGCAATTCCACTCCCCACTGGCAACAGTCAGGCTGAAACCAACATCATGTGGTTAAATCAATCTCCAATGGACATATCAAGCAGACTTATACTTGGATAGTACACTACCACAAAAATGTTTGGGGTTTTTTTCTCCTTTAAATGTGCTTTTCAGAATATTCCAGTAATGCTTATTCTTGTGCAAATATGAGATAAGGCCGATAACAATTTTGATTTTTATTCTGCATTCTTTTATTGTTCAGGAAAGGGATAGAAAAGAATAAAGAAAGAGGAATAACAGCTTCTCTGTTTTTAAGAGTAGCACTTTCAAATGTATCACCTCCAGTGCTGTAACTCCTGAAACATGCACAATTTAACATTCATTGGCAGTAAGTTTGTAACATGCTCCAAACTTTTTTTGTGGGTATTTACATGCTTGTTATTCACTTAGACTGCAGCAGCACAAGGTCTTTGGGAATATCTCTGTTGGTGCAGTTGCTACCACTGTCTTACACAGCAGGCCAAAGTCACACTAGCAAAATTACCTGGGCTACAAAAGCCTGTCCTTGTTCCAGCACCGGTCATTAGCTGAAGCTGATTGCACTGAAATAGTTTTCAGCTGAAAACAAGATGTTTTAAATCACTAGCTTTCAAGTCAATTCATGCACTTGGTACAAGGACACACTATTCTTCTTGGAAAATATGTCTGGGATATGTAACTGTAGAAATGGTATCTCATCAAGGACTATTGGGCTATAAAACTATAACTCAATTTTAAATTTTTCATAGGCCCAATTATACAGTATAGATAAAAGAATAATTAGAATTAAAAAGCTGTGCAATAAGTAGCAGTTTAGTAAAACATTAAGAACTGTAGGCAGTACTCATCCATCTTAGCTATAATCACATTTAAAGGAAATTAATGATGTGGTGGAATTGCAAAAGAAAATTAAGTGATCTAGGCATTCCACAGTTAACTATACCACAGCAAGACTTTTTTTAAGCCTTGGATAGATTAATAGAATTTAGATTACCCAACTGCCCCGGTTAGCTATTTTTGTGCGTTATTGGCAAAAGAAGGCAGAGTTTCCTCCAAGATAGTTTTCTGATAGTACTAAATCTATGCCCCTACCCAGATCCCCTTTTGCAGATATTCAAGTTGCTCTTGAAAATTTTGTTTCTAAACTAACAGAGTAGAGATCAAAATTTACTATAAGTCAGTAAGCAGTTACTCATCCCTACAATAAAATTCTAGTTTTAAATCCGAGTACATATTTTTCTTTTCCATTTGCTTTCCAATTGTCTAAAATAGAAAGTTTCAGTAGCTGTATTATCATCTTCAATCACACATTTATATTACTGCTGGCTTTCACTTCAGATAGTTTACAGTTCTGAGTTCTTGGTGGTTTTTAAAACTAAAATTACAAGTTCTTAGTTTCTTTGAGACAAGGTACTAAATTTCATCAGTCTGTATTTTGAGAAAAACATTAGTACAATAATGAAATAACATTTTCTGATTTCTTAGACATAACCTTGTTTAAATGCCTGAAATACATAATACATCAATAACATCTGTTTTCTAGCCATTCAGATTCAAAAATTTAGCAATGCATGAACAGGAACTAATACATGTTAGTACATATCTGCTTTAGTTCAGTTTTTCCTCCAGCACTCTTTTACAGGTTACTTACCTAATCATTAAGAACTTAAGTCTTTTATACGAACTAAATTTTTTGACTCACCTATAGAGCAAATGAATAAAGTCTGAAGCTTTATTTATCCTCATAACAGAACACACATTTTTTCCCATTTCAAATTTTTCCTCCAGTTCTTCACAAGATTCTCATAGGCACAATTCACAACGACGTTGATCTTCATGTCTTCCTGAAGAAAGAGGTCTGTCCCTGCTTGCTTTGAGAAATACCCCTGAGCCAAGTCTGCACAGCTGCTAAAGATAAGCCATCAATTACTGCAGCCTGACCACCACTCCCCTTCCTGGGCACAATTAACTATTTGGTGCAAGGACAGCACCTTCCTCTCCCATTGTCTTTTGACTCCTCAGATGCGTCTGAAGTCTGATCATAGCGGGACTTATTGATGGGATGCTGCTGCCTTTGCTCACACTGATTGAGGAAGTCCCAGCTTGCCTTAACAATTATTTCCAGTAATGTTATTTTAGTGTTTTGACTTACAGTAGGACCAAAAAAAATTGTTTTGTTTTTTTTTTTTTTCATCACAGATAGAGGCATAGCAAGCTCCTCTGTGTAGCTGAGAATGAGTACTGGAAAAGGAAACAATAACAGACTTCTATATTCTAGGCCACTTCAAACGTTCAGACTTCAAAATATATGTGGAGGCATTTTGGAATCAACACGGTGGGATTTTCTTGTCATCTGATGAA